TTCCTCCCTTACACCCGAAGACCACTCATGCGCCTCACTGTAGTCCAAGCCCACCAGCTATGGTGGCTGGGCTATGGCGCTGCCCTCAGCAGCGCCCTGCTTCCCTGCACGACCGCACGTGCTGCACCTCCCCTCTCAGCGCCAGCAGCAGCCCACAAGCATTTGCTCCAACAGCGTCGCCGCTAGCATGCGAGTGTCTGAATGAGGCTGCCTGGGGAGAGCTCTTTCCTTTATGGAAAGAGCTGGCCTGCTCGTGCAACCTGGCTGTACCGGCCTGGGCCCAAAAGCTTCCGGAAGGCCCCAGGATGCTGCCTTTGCGCTGCAGCTACTGGGCCTTGTCCGGTTGGGCCTCCCAACTGTCAGTGTATGAGGCTGCGATTCACGCGCAGGGCCTGCATTCTTTGGAAAGGCCCGGTAGGCCCTGGAAATGTCTTTGTTGCTCGGCCTGCGTTTCTCTCAACCAACTGGCGCGTTGCAACCGCCTGCACCCCAAATATGAAATAGAGAGTCAAAGGCCTCTTGTAGTATGTTAGGCCCGCCTTCACTTAGGGCGGGCACCACTGCAACCGGGGCCCCTTAGGCCTGCCGAGGACCCAGATCCTCGCATTCCCTCCTCCTTTACTTCGTTAGTCCGCTGAGAAGTTTCTTATTCTGCAGGCATCTTCCCTTTCAGTTCTCTTTCATAGCCCGCTATCACTTGAGGTGCTGTCCTCATAAGTTCTTCTCGGGTGAACCAGCGATCTTCCTTGGGATCGAGATGATGTCTAAAGCTCACACGATACTGCATTCTCGGTTTAGGAGGGCCCCCTCTGCCTGATGGCCGGGGAACAGGCATCATTCGATGCTCCACGATCTGGTCGATGTCCACCTCGCCATCCATGGTTGGGGGCAGCATTAATCTTCTTGATGGGAACTGCTCAGTTGCAGCGAAAGGTGCCAACTTTGAGGCATGAAAAACAGGGTATTTACGTAAGTGAGGTGGGATGCGGATCACATAGGAGGGTCCCTGTATCTGATCCCTAGTCACATCTAGAACCTCCCATGGGCCGAAGTACTGTGGCATCAATTTACGGGATATACCCAGCTCTTGACCGAGTTCAGATGATCTGACCAAGACTCTATCACCTACCTGAAAGTTAGAGGGCCGTCTATGCTTATTCTCAAATGCAATCATAGCTTCTTGATATCTCTTGATATGTTAAACGGCCTGTTGCAGCATCTGATCATACTGGACAACGAATTCTGTGCTGCCGGGTGTTGTTGTGGGTTGACTTTCTGGTAGCAGGAAATCTAGTGCAGTTCTGGGCTTCCAACCAAGATGCAGTTGGTTGGGAGTCTTACCGGTGGTACTATGCACAACATTGTTATACAGGCTGGCGACAAGAGGTAGCTTCTTGTCCCAATCATCCTGACTTGGCTTAATATAGTGCCGCAGCAGGTGTTGTACTACTTGGTTCATCTGTTATGCTCGTCCATTTGACTCAAGATGATTCCCTGATGTCATTTGGAGCTTGGTTCCCATCTGCTCAGCAGTTGACTTCCAAAGTTCGCTTGTAAACCTTATATCCCTATCACTAACTATAGACGAGGGTAGACCGAAGTCGCGTACCCAGTTATCCATAAAGAGTTTGATGACATGGTCAGTCTTTGCAGATTCAGGCATAGCGATAAGTCTTGCAAACTTAGAGAAGCGGTCTACTATGACGAAGACATGTCTTTTCCCGGACCTGCTGGTGACAAGAGTATCCATGAAGTTCATGGAAACACTCTTGCCAGGACCTTCAGGAATCGGCAAGGGCTGGAGAAGCCCAAGCGGAGCCTGAGTTCTTGGTTTGTTGCGTTGGCAAACCTGACAGGTTTCTACATATTTTTGGGCATTTAGCATCATAGAGGGCCACCAAAATTTATGTACTAAGTTTGCTGATGTCTTTTTATATTCAAAACGACTAGTTGCATCATGGCATTCTCCTACAAATAAACTACGCAAAGACTCACTACTGGGAACACACAATCTTTTATTCCCTGCCTTTTCAAGAAACAGCAAGCCGTCTACCATCGTAAATTCGTCCAAAGTCTTTTTGTCCTTTGCTTGGAATGTACGGATGATCTCAGACATAACTGGATCTTGCTGATAGGCATCCACCAATGATCGAGTCAAGTCGCTAGGTATGCCAAATTCAGTCACTAGTGCGCCTAGATAATCCGCTTGACGAGATAGCGCATCAGCCACCTTGTTGTACTCTCCCTTGATAGGATCAAGTTGATAGTCATAAATGTCTATCACTTGTATCCATCTCTTTAGTGCATCAGAGAGCACGGGTTGTGTCTTGATCCAGCACAAGGTTTCATGGGCAGATCTCACATAGAAGAATCTATCTAGGAGATAATGTCTCCAATGAACCAGCGCTCTATATAGGGCATAGAGCTCACTCTTGTATGTGGACTTGCTAGTTTCTAAGATGGCATTTTCTAACTCATATACTCGATCGGTCTCAACTTTTTCCCCTCCTTTTGCGCAAGGACCGCGCCTATGCCATATTGGCTGGCGTCTGTAGTCACGAC